TTGAGTCATTTAAGAAGGAAAAAATTAAGAGTGATTGGAGGTTAAGGCCATCTGTAGCAGCAGTGGTGCACCATCTAGGGCAATCTTCCAATGAAGAAGGACAGCTTGTGGTCTTTTTGGTCACATCCACAAACACGGATAGCATCATTGACTATGAACCGCAGCAGTAGCAACACAACAAACTATCATGGCCCAAATGAATGATAATGGCTCATAAAAGAATACTGGAGTAGGTTTTTGAAAAAATGACTATTATTTCCTTAGAAAAGATAAACATTAGTAATACTTGGAATGGGAAATTTTTGCAAAAGGAAATCTATTTTGTATCAAATTCCCTATCTGTGAATCATACATGTTTCATGTAAAAATAAAGAATATACCTGAAAAATATGGTCATGGTTTGAACCAACAGTTCTCAAACTTTCTCACTATCAGAATTACCCAGAGGGCTTGTTAAAATGGAGTATCCAAATTATCTGTACTTCTAAACTTCCTTGGGACTTGATGCCTCTGGTCTCAGGACACACTTTGAGAAACAATGGTCTAGACTGAGCTGTAGTTTTCACTTTTCTCAAGAAGGTAGCTACTCTTATGCTATCAGAAGTTATGATCTTGAGTTTTGATTAAAGTGTTTCTTACTACATGGAATAATCCCACGACAACAGAACATGGTACCAAATATTTATTAAAAAGAAAAAGTTCTAAGGGGCTGTCACTGTGGCAGGGCAGATAAAGCCACCACTTGCAATAACGCCATCCCATGTGGACAGCAGTTCATGCCCAGCTAACAGCCTGGGAGAAAGATGGCCCAAGTGCTTGGGTCCCTGTTACTCATGTGGGAGACCTGGAAGAAGCTCCTGGCTCCTGGCTTTGGCCTGGCCCAGCCATGGCCATTGTGGCCATCTGAGGAGTGAACCAGTGAATGGAAAATCTCTCTCTCTCTCTCTCTTTCATGTCTCTTCCTCTCTTTCTATAACTTTCAAATAAACAAATCTTCTTAAAATTTATTTATTTATTTTAGAGATTTATTTATTTATTTGAAAGGCAGAGTTACAGAGAAGTAGAGGTAGAGCCAGAGAGAGAGAGAGAGATCTTCTACCCACTGGTTCATTCCCCAAATGGCTACAATGGCCGTAGCCGGGCCAATCTGAAGTCAGGAGCCAGGAGCTTCTTTTGGGTCTCTCACCTGTGTGCAGAGGCCTAAGCACTTGAGCTATCTTCTACTACGTTCCCATGCCATAGCAGAGAGCTGGATCGGAAGTGGAGCACCCAGGTCTAGAACAAGCGCCCTTATGGAATGCCAGCACTGCAGGCAGTGGCTTTATCAGCTATGCCACAGTGCTACCACTCCCTTTTTTCTTTTTTAAAAAAGAAAAAGTTCTAGTAGACAATAGTTGTCAGTATGTTGTTAAAATCCCTTTTGTATTTCTCATCTCTTGGATTGTTTTTCATGTCTTTAATCTATAAATTATACAGACACAAAAGTTATCATTCCTCTAGAATTCAGGATTCTAAGTGTCCCAAGCTTCTTCCTTCATTTTCAAACTCCAGAAAACATTAATGCTAATTACTAAATGTCTGTGCTTCCTAAAACCCCTCTGTTGAACCAAATCACCAATGTGACAATACAGTATTAGCAGGTATGGCTGTCAAGAGGTAATTAGGGCCTTTATAAAAGTGGTACTGGAGATGTGTTTCGTTCTTTTGTACCATGTAAGGATACAAGAAGAGGGCACCACCACTCATGAAAGCAGGTCCTCAGCAAACACCACATTTGCTGGTGTGTTGATCTCAGACTTCCCAGCCTTCAGAACTGTGGGGCATAACCTTGTTTGTAAACTATCCAGTTTATGGTATTTTGTTGTAGCAGCCCTAATGGACGAAGAGAGTTATCATTTTACTAACAGATCAAATTTATTTCTTAAAATCAATTAGGACATTTTGATGATTTTTTTTTCGAACAGAGATATTGTGGTGAAGGTAATTCTTCCTCTTTCACTGTTTTTGGGGAGTGGCAGGAGAGGTGATGAACGTAACTGAAAATAGTAAAAGGAAATAAAATTGTAGAACAAATGAGGCCCATATTTAGTGAAATTTTAGCTCTCTTGACATTGCAGGGCAAATCAGAGCAATGATGAGAACATTATTTATTTATTTTTTTTTTGAGACTTCATGACCAGACTTGACTATAAACCATAATTAAGGCCTATTATGCAACACAGGTGTTAGGAAAGAACTAGATGTTTTGAGGTAACCTGGGCAATGCATAGAAGCCTCCAATTTTGAGGCTGAAGAAAACATGCAACAATGTGAACTTTATATGCGGGAAACATGGTAGTTTGTATGTTGTACCTTTGTTGAATCAATTATGCATTCAAATAAAGAACATTTCAGATATAAGGAGACTTCTGCCTATACAGTATTTTGAACAAAATGCCAAATACTTATATACTATGGACATTTTCTACTCAATAACAAAATTGAAGCAACCTAGTATGAATAATTAAGTGTGACTGCTGTTGCCAAAATCAGACTTAGTGTAACAATGGATCAAGAATTCTGGGAATAAATTGTCTGGGGCTATGTAAATTAAAGTGTAAGTAAACCTCTTAGTAATTCTAAATGATGGGCTATTTAAAATTTTAAATTAGCCTTAAGGGGCAGTTTAGCAGGTAAAATCTGCCACCTGCAAAGCCAGCATTCTGTATGGGTGTCAGTTGAGTCCGGGCAGCTTTTCTTCTGATCCAGCTCCCTGCTAGTGTGCTGGGAAAGCAACGGAGGATAGCCCAAGCACTTGGGCTTATGCCACCCATATTTGAGACCCAGATGAAGCTCCTGGCTTCTGGCTTTGGACTGGCCCAGCCCCAGTTGTTGTGGCCATTTGAGGAGTGAGTTAGAGGATGGAAGATCTCTGTCTCACCCCCACCCCTGCCCCTTTCTCTATAACTCTGTTTTTCAAACAAATGTCTTTAAAGAAATTATCCTGATCAGACAATGTACAGACCCACACTTCATGCATTATAAATTAGTGGGAAGACACACTCAAAGAAATTGTATGTGAAAAGTACGAAATGGAGGCATAATCAGAAATGACCTGAAAGTGGAGATGGAATGACCCCAGGAGGGGTCACAGGAAGATAGAGTTAACAGTTTGCTTATTTGGTGTTCGACAACTCCCTCACAAGCATGGCACTTGATGCTGTTCATTAAAAATAATACTTAGTAGTTTTATTAAAAATGGCCACCCCCTGCAGCGCCCTGCCAGTAGCCCATATGATGAGCTCAGGTTTGAGTCCCAGCTCCCTGCTAATATGCCTGGGAAAGCAGTAGAAGATGGCCCAAGTACTTGGGCCCCTGCAACTGATGTGGGAGACAGAGAAGGAGTTCTGGGCTCCTGGCTTCAGCCACTTGAGGATGGAAGATGTTTCTGCCTTTCGCTCTCTATAACTCTGCCTTTCAAATAAATAAATGTTTTTTAAAAATGGCCTGTGTTCAATTTTAATGCAGAAGTGAAAAAATGGTCTAGAATTCTGAAAAATTCTGAAAAAAAAATCAGAAGTGAAAAAGAAAATATATAAGTGAAGGAGAGGGAGAAAACAAAGGAAATCCTGTAAGAGTTATTGAATAATTTTACCCATTTTCCTAACCTGGATTCTCATTTGTACTTATTTTGCTTGTAGTAAAGTAGTTCCATGTGCTAAACTTTCTGCTTGGAACAGCAGAAACCTAATCCTGTAAGACTGTCATATGATCCCCCCACAGTTAGGAGTGTCCTGGGCCCAGGCAAGACAGCCAAAGGGAGCTAATGAATCTGTGACCCGCAGGCGTAGGCCGAAGGAACATGAAGATTCTGAACAGCTCAGAGCTCAATGTCCACTGTACGTGCATTCATACTTTGAATCCAGACAGCGAAGCTGAATGACAGACTCCCCTGGCAGCAATTCTGCTTGCTAGTTATTTCAATCTTTGACATTGTTAGTTCTTTCCAAACACTTGCACACGGTTGTAATGGTGAGAAACAGAAACCTGGGCCTCACGGGCATTTTAGTTATATTTTACCCTAAGTAACCTGTAAAGGGGGCCTACACTCACTACTAACACACCTGAAAATCCTAACGGAACACAATTGGAGCAATGAAAGGGATCACTGACCTCCTAGTGGGATGTGGGGGGAGGGGAGAAGAAACACAGATTAACGAAAAGGGAAACAGAACGCTGGGATGAAAACTATATTATCTGGGTGGGACATGTTGCCTTTTATGTATATTAAATTTAACTGAAAAAAATTATTAGACGTCTTTTGCCAGGAGTCTTGCACGTTCCCTGCTCGGCCTCCTATGGCAGCGGTGGTATTTTTCCAGCTCGCCTGACCCCGTGTCTCCTTTCCTCTTCGCAACCTTTCCTTCTGGTAATGGGCTGCGGGATGGTTAAGCAAGCGAACAGGAACTCCATTGGCGCAGAGCTGGTTTGTTGAGTGAAGCGCACATTTCACCCGTGGGACGCACACAAGGCTCTGCAGGTGCACATTCAGGAACTGGGGCCAGAGGCCGATCCAAGAAGGCAGAGCGCACGAGCCCGGCCGAGGGCAACTTCCGGACGCTGAGCCGATCCTTTAAAGCGGCACCATCTCCGGCTCTTCAGATCAACCACTGCAACACCCACAAACGCCTCAGCAGAGGATGTTCCGGAGCCCGCCAAAGACAGGACAACCCCGGACAGACTGAGCACGACCGCCACGGGGTGTCTGCGACAGTCCAAACGCAGGTAAGGAGACAGCAAGGCTGACTGCGATCTCGCGGGATCTTCCGCCACAGCTGTCGTCCTCCGGCCTCACTCAAAGCGTCGCGTTGTTTGGGCCTGGGGGGGCGTGGCGAGCCCAAAGGGGGCGGGGCCAAGAGGGGGGCGTCCCCAGGCCTTGTTGACTTCGGCGTCCTCGCCGAGCGGCCAGCTCGCCTGAGGCTCTCTGCGCATGCCCAGCTCCCGGCGGCGCTGGAGGCCGGGACGGTCCGGCTACCCCGTCGCGGGTCCTGGCCCCGCCCCTCCCCCCGGCCGCCGCGGCGGTGTTGTTGTGGTGGCGGCGGCGGCCGGCTGCAGCGGAGCTCGCCGAGTCTTACGAGGCTGGCCCTGCGCGTCGCTGCGGTGGGCTAGACTGGCCGGCGTGCCACAGGTAAGGTCGCTGCCCGCGGGTTTGAGGTCGTGAGGGTTGTGGCGGGGCCGGTGGAGCCAGACGCCCGGTGGGGTCGCGCTCGGACGCCTGGGGTCTTAGGGTCCGGGGTCAGGCGGTCAGATGCTGGAGGACCAGGAGTCGAGGAGCGGGGGTCGAGGGTCGGTGGTCGGGGCACGGAGGACGCAGGGGTCGGTCGGGGAGTGGAAGGGGGCTGGACGGGGCTGGGGGTCGCGGACCGAGGTCAGCCAGGGGCGTGGAGGCCGGGGCGCCGAGTCCTCTTTTCGGTCCGGCAGCTCAGACCTGGGCTCTGGGACCCCGGAGTCCCCGACGTGGGCGTCGTCAGGCCCCCGTCGGCCCCCCAGGGCCTTTTCCGATCCTCGCGGTGACTTAGTGTTGTTTTGGTTTTGACGGAAAAGAATGCAACCTACGTAGGCTCGGGGAAGCCTTGGGGGCTGGGAAGGGTTTCAGGAGATTAGTGCAGGCGCTAATGTTTTCCTTCCTACTTTTTTGTTTGGGCTTGTACTCCCGTTTGCGGTAAGTGCGGTGCCCGTGGTGTAGGCTTGGGGTCGAGAGGACCCCGGAGTGGAACCCGAGGGAGCAATTCTGCAGATCCAAGATTGTGGTGTTAACTTACTTTGTTTTCATAGTCCTCTTCTTAAAATTGTGAAATTACAGCTATGTGTCTAGCGTTACGAATAGAAGAATTTGAGTACAGAGGAGAAAGTGTGCTTTTAGCGATAGTCACTATCTTACTGGGAAAGTGCTGCGTGCTTTTTAAGAAAAAAAATCAGGTAAACAATCAAGACTCCTGCCCTCCCCCCACTCCAATATTTCTCTTTGCTAACTACCCAGGGTAACCTGTCTTCAGATGTACTGTGGAGCCATGCAGAAGTTTTTTGTGTGCATAAAATGAGTGTGCTTTAGAAATAAAAATTCAGGTCATCTGTAGTATGTCATTTTATTAGTCAACAATACATACATCACAAATGATACTTAATTCTAAGAGCTATGGAGCTCTGTGATTCTTGTTGCTGAACGTAGCTTTCAATAATCAGCTTTTAAAAGGGTCTGCAAACCAGTGTCTTTAAATATAAGGTAGTGAAACTTTCAGAATGTTCAAGGCCGCTCGGGACATTTTCATACTGAGCAGGTTGAGTAATATGTTTACACAGAGCTTGATGATAGTTTACATGAGGCCCAATGACTTCATAAAACAGGTTACTAAAATAGTTTACTTTCTGTTTTTTTGAGTGCCTTTTACCAAAGTAAATTTAAATTCCATGTGGTCAGTTGAAAACACTTAATTCCTTAAACACGAAGTGGCAGAGGTGTGAAGAGGTTAAGGTAGAATGATAGTCGCTCAGAAGTTTGTGTTTCAGACAGAAAAAAAGGTACCAGAGATATTTTGATACATAAGTCATAGAGAATATGCTTGAAGTGAAAGGCTGGTGCTGCACTGCTTACTTATTAAGTAAGAGAGCAAGCAAATGCTTCCTGTATTTTGTATTTTTGTGTGCAGAAGAGCTGACGTCTTTGTTGATTTCATCACTAACTTATGTTTATTAAAAGTACTGTGTGTCCATCTTGGTGCTGGCTTCCAGGGAAAACAACTGAGTGAGATAACCACAAACGGCAGCTAGATTCTAAACACGAAAAGCTTGCAATCATAGGCTAAGTTGTGTAGCATTTTATTATTTGGGAGGTATGCTTAAAAGGAATAAGAGAAGGAGTAAGTGGCTTTTTAGGTGCCATTCTTGCTAATAAAATGTTGTTAATGTTTCCTCCTAACTACATAAGTGACATTCTCCTCATTTTTCTTTCTTTTTTTTTTTTTTTTTGTCTTCCTTTTCCGTTGGTTCACCCCCCAATGGCCGCTGCGCCCGGCGCGCTGCACTGATCCGAAGCCAGGAGCCAGGAGCCAGGAGCCTCTCCTGGTCTCCCATGCAGGTGGAGGGCCCAAGTACTTGGGCCATCCTCCACTGCACTCCCGGGCCACAGCAGAGAGCTGGACTGGAAGAGGAGCAACCAGGACAGAATCAGGTGCCCCGACTGGGACTAGAACCTGGAGTGCCAGCACCGCAGGCGGAGGATTAGCCTAGTGAGCCGCAGCGCCGGCCCATTTTCCCCCATTTTGTAGATCAGTAAGGAGAGGCTCTGAGAAATTTATTAAACTGCCCTAGATTCCTTTATTTTTTTAGTTGTGGAACTTGCTTAAACTCAGGTGTGCTACATTCAAGAACCTTTGCATTATTGGCTCCCATTAAGGTAAACTGCCCTATGAAAATCATTGATCTTACAGTTTTCTCTTTGAAATGTTTCTTATAAAATTGAGACATGATTATAACCATGTGTATTGTAAATAGTCCAAGTGATAACTAGTGTGAGACCATGTTGGTGTCTTTTTAGATGAGATTTCTGTTGTAAATTAAAATATTAAAACACCTTGATCTTAAGTCCTTAACCACAAAAGATGGAGGATTGTGTTGGTTTACTCATTGCTCATTCTATGTAAATCTAGGTACCCTTGTGAATTGCTACTTACTAAGCACTTTGATGGATGAGCTCACTTCATTACATAATGTTAGAAAACCTAGTTGAAATTTTTGTAAGCTAGTACGCTGAAAAAGAATACAAGAGAGTCCCAAAAAAGTGTAAGAAAAACATTTGCTTATTTCATTTTCAGTACTTTAATAGCCTCTTAAAAATGCATCTTGACAGATATTTTATGGTAAGTCATAATATTATGGTATATTAATCAGTTTTAGTTTTCCAGCAGGTGTGACAACTATGTAGTTTATGGAAATATGATAAATACTGAAATTAATAAGACATGATGAGTTGTAATATGTATTTGAGAAGAAACCCACACAGAGGAAAAGACTAGGACTTTTTTGGCAATTGTTAAGCATGATAATTGGGTTCATATCTAAGTAGTAGCGTATTGACCTTTGATTGATTATCTCTTGGTCAGTGGATGTGGGCTTTAGGACAAAAATATATGAACCCCACAAAGAATATGCTAAGATCTGTTAAGATCTGTTGACTCTCAGCCTTTGAGGTGGGGACTAGGACTCTAATGCTGTCTGTGTGTCTTTTCTCAAAAATTACTAATGGAGAGCTTGTTACTAATGGGAGGAAATAGCTTCTTTTGCAGTTTAACATGAAAATCCTTTAGGGACATTTTTCATGAAAAGCGAGAAATAAATCAACTGCTTAGGTCCTGTGTATGATAATGTAAGTGTGATCTCTACAGTTTAAAAGCTGTTTGGGATCTAAAAACTAATTTGTGTGAAACAGCTATTGTGGAATTGCATAAAGAATTTGACCTCTGATAATCTGTTTCTAAGGAGAAACTGGTTAAGATCAAAGAGAAGCCCAAAAAGGGCGATAAACTGAGAGTTGATTCTTAAAATAGGCGGAGGGGAAGCAGGAGCTTCTTCAAAGAGTGGGTAATCAGGAGAGTGAAATGTGTGGATGGATGTCAAGAAAGATGAGATTTTAAAAGTTGCAGTTCTTCGTGTTTTGAGGTACTGAAGAAACACCTAATTCTAATTTCAATTCTGTGTTAGCTGTGTCCTGCCAGTGGTTCAGTTGGAATAATTAACATCTTTCAGTTACTGGTAGGCTCTCATAGAGCTTCTGTAAGAGTCGTATTATCGTAAGTCAAGTCTAAAGTTATAATGAGCATTTGAAGAGCTGTAGAATGTGAAGTGCTGTGAAGATGTCTTTTCTGTGGTTTTTGCAAGTCAGCTGGTCCTTCTTGGCAGCCTTTTGTTCATTCTCTCACTTTCTTAAGTATAGGTGTTAGCTTGGGGTTAGTTCTCATCTTCCTGTTTAGTGCTGTGTTCTCACCTTTGGTGATTTCCCACACAGACCCAGCTTTTCAAGTGCTTACTCCCTCTGCTGAGGCTCCTATTTCTGCCTTATTTTCTTTCTTAAATTTGCTGTTCTTGTACTCCCAGGTAAACACTTCACTGGCTGTCACTTTGTTTTCTTGTATCAATAAATCTAGAATTAAATTCTTTTTCTTTACAAATTCATTTCTTTTCCTGGTACTTTTTTATATTAGTGACCTTAACATCTTAATTTTATTTGTGTATTTGAAAGGCAGACTCTCCAGATGCCTGTAGCAGCTAAGGCTGGTCTAGGCGAAAGCCAGGATCTGGAACTCATTCCAGATCTCCCAGGTGGGTGATAGGGACCCAAGTACTGGAGTCATCACCCACTGTGTCTTAGGGTATACAGTAGCAAGAAACTGTATTGGAAATGGAGGAGCTGAGACTCAGAACCAGTCACTCTGATATGGGACACAGGCGTCTCAGGTGGTACCTTAACCGCTGTGCCAAATGTCTGCCCTAACCTTAACATTTTCTTAGTCATCCAGGCTCAGAATCGAAAGGTCATCTTCCTATTTTCTCAGAAATAGTTATCATCTTATTGCATTGTGGTTCCTGATGCTCCTGTCATCTTTGTGTTTGTCCAGCAACTATGTTTACAATAAGACACACCTCTACTCTGTAGATTCTTTTTTTTTTTTTTTTAATTTTTTTTTTATTTTTGACAGGCAGAGTGGACAGTGAGAGAGAGAGAGAGAAAGGTCTTCCTTTGCCGTTGGTTCACCCTCCAATGGCCGCCGCTGCAGCCGGCGCACCGCGCTGATCCGATGGCAGGAGCCAGGATCCAGGTGCATCTCCTGGTCTCCCATGGGGTGCAGGGCCCAAGCACCTGGGCCATCCTCCACTGCACTCCCTGGCCATAGCAGAGAGCTGGCCTGGAAGAGGGGCAACCGGGACAGAATCCGGCACCCCAACCGGGACTAGAACCCGGTGTGCCGGCGCCGCAAGGTGGAGGATTAGCCTATTGAGCCACGGCGCCGGCTTACTCTGTAGATTCTGCCATCCATCATTAATTATTGCTTTTAATTATCCTAAAGGAAATGGAGTTCTGATTATATTCCCTGCCTGATGACACACACACAGAATTTTCAGAATACTTGTTGG